TCTCTCTTTCTGGTCAAATTAAAATAATAATAATAATATTGCTGAGGATAATCAGTAAAATTAGATAAAAATAATTCTTAAAGGAAAGAAAGCTAAACTTGAATAAGCATTGATATAAAACACAGTGAACCTGTCTGAAAACAACTGTTTGGTGTAGAGTAATAATAAGTGTTAGGTACTAAACATCTGCTTTATGCCAGGAAATATGCTAGACTTTTTCATGTATTAACCCCAATCCTCATGTTCAGTCTACAAAATAGATATTGCAGTCTTCATTTACAAGTGAGAGATCTTTTATTGTTTTTTTCTAAGACTCAGAAAAATTACAAAACTCGTCCCAGTTTATACAGCGTATTAGTGGCAAAGCCAGGATTGAAACTCAGGTCATTCGTTGTTGTTGAGCATCCTGTTTCCACTGTATGTAGGAGGAATGCAGCTTAACCCCATTTGGGAAACAGTACCTGTGAAACAGGTCAGCAGTACTTGACTGTCAGATCAGCTAATGCATTTTCTTTTTATTTTGGAGAGATCTTTGTTATAGGGCATGTGTTCTTGTTAGAGAGACAGAGAGATACAGAGAGACAGAAAGCGAGAAATCAGCTACCGGGGGGATGGCCGTGCTGTAATCCCTTCTCCTCCATTCTCCTCTCAGGATCTGGGCCATACACACACAACACACACCCGGCGTGAGTTTTAAGCTGCTGGGTCTGGGACTCAAATGACATTTGACTATGTAGGAGTTGAGCAACCATTACTCCGTCTGCTGGTCTCAACTAATGCATTTTGTACTACAGTGTTCAGGATATGGGACGCCATCACCCAGTTTACTCTGTTTTGGTTAGTTCAGATCAAGAATATTGCTTAAATTCTGGGTTACCATACTTGAAAAGGGCACTGTTTCATCATTGTCATTGTCATCATTGTCACAAATAGCTGTAGCTGAGTGTGGAAAGCACTTTATGGAAGCTCACCTCAAGTCTGCCATTCCCAGTGGTGGGTGGTAACCACAATATCTGGTAACTACATCTAGGACTCTGCAAAGCATTAGAATTCTAGATGGCCCTGTGGATTTGTTGCTGTCTGTGTCTACCTTCTACATTTGCTTTGTTCACTTGTCTTTTTGATGTGGTTGTGTAAAGTAGATTTAATCACTATGATTAAAAATGATGATATGTAATGAAGTATGTGACTTTTTGCTAACAGAAAAGAGCATATGATAAAATGTGTTTTTAATAAAGCAAACCAGTTTTGAGATGAGCTAAGGGTAGCTACCTTTTGGAAACACCTAATTTCAAGTGAACTGACTTTTTATGAGTTATAAGTTGATACAGATTGAAATATAAATGTCACTGATAGAATGCTGTCCCAGAGAGAGTACATGCCAGGTGCCACAGCAGTTCAGTTTGAAATCTGTTCCTTTTATTATTTCTGTTTATTGTTTGTTTTGTTTTTTGAAATGCTGCTATGGAAAATTTCTAAAACATCCTTAATTATTATTTTTAAATTTGCCAGAGAGTGTGTGGACTCACACACAGAGAGAGGTGAGAAAGCACTCCCCAAGGGATATGGCCATGCCACAATTTGTTTCCTCCAGTTTTCTCTCCTTTCAGGAATTTGGGCATTCATGCACATGCACCTGGTGTGTTTTTCAAGCCACCAGGTCCAGTACTCAAACCACATAGCCATGTGGGATCCAGCTGCCTTAACCATTCTGCCAGTGGCCAACACCATCTTAAATTATCTTATTTGAACTAAAAAGTTGGTGACTCTGCCTCTGCAGGTTGCCAAAAGCTAGTGTGTAGTGGAGAAGTGGGGCAGCTCAAAGGGAATTTGTCGAATTCAGTTTTGTCCCACAACAGTCCATCTTGTAGGCATAAATGAATCACTCTCTGGGTGTCACAGTGTTCCTTCCCCCCCCCCCCCCCCAGGGCTTAGGCACTCACCAGAGAGACACAGAAAGAGACAGTAAGAGAGGGAAAGTGAGAAATCACCCCCCAGGGAGATGGCCCTTATGCAATCCCTTCCCCATTCTTCTCTTTGAATTTTGAGCATGCATACACATGCACCTTCCTGGAGAAAGAGGAAAGTGAGAAATCATCTGGGGAATGGCCACCTCAAATCCCTTCTCTTCCATTCTTCTCCCAGGATTTTGGGCACGTATGCACATGCACCCAGTGTTTTTTCAAGCCACTGGAACCAGAGTGCAAAACAGAGTTGACCTTGTGGGATCTAGTGCTTTAACCGTGGTGGCTCCACATAGAACATTGTTAAAGCAGAGAAAACTTTTATGAGTGACAAGCATTTTGTTTGGTTTATCATTTAAGATAACTTGTTCACATATCATAAAATACCTTTATGATAAGAAGATCGAACAACAGTGTTGGTTATGCCAACTGTTACTGGATAGTATTTGTCTGTTTAGCTCTTTTTAAATTGTTACTTTTCCCTCAGCTCATTCCCTCACAGTTCACATCCAACCCACTGAGCAAGTGTGTGCACCTGACCTTAACTAAATCTAAGAAGCAACCTCTTCTCACTGCTTCCACCACAATTTAGTGTAGAAGTGTGGAGGCTCTGGAGTCAACTCTGGTTTGAATTCCAGATCTGCTGCTCACTTTTATGAGCCCTTGGACAAGTTGATCACTGCCTTAGTTTTCTCATTTATTAAATGAGAAATATAGTAGTCGCCTACTAACATTGTATGCCTAGTTCCTAAGGTTATTTGTGCTGCTTTTCGAGCAGTGGCTGACCTGTGGTGCTTAGTGTTAGCCACTACTGTTATTATCATCATCATTATTTATTACGGCAGTCTAAGTCCAAACCACCTTCAAAGTGACCTTTTTAAGGTCTGTATAATATTACGTCAGGTCATGTAGCTCTCCTGGTGAAAA